GTGTTTCATTGTGGCGTTAACTCGCGTGTTTTACTGTGGCGTTAACTCGCGTGTATCATTGTGGCGTTAACTCGCGTGTTTCGTGGTGACGTTAACTCGCGTTTTCATAAGCAAAATATTATGAGTGGGTGCTAAGTTAAAATATAGGAATAGTAAGGATATTGACGGACTAAGTCTGAAGCCCAAAACAACAAAGACATAAAAGCGAATAAAGACGTTTCAAACATATGGAAAAACGGAGAAATTGTTAAGGGTACATGACAAAAGGAAATAAAGGGAATAATATTCAAGAAATACATATTCCAAGTACAAAACATAATAAATGGTTAAGTCTTTTTGGTCTTCATTTCGGAACTGCTTCACTCCGATTCTCAGCATCCGGAGGGGGCGGCGAAACGAGGCTTGGTTGTGCCTCTTCGGAACTAACCACCGTCCCAAGGGCTCCGATGTCTCCGGCGAAGTCGGTGATAGCCCCTTGCCGGGAGAATTCTTCAACGAGGCCTTGATAAACCGGCCTCCACCACTCTAAGTTGGGATCCTCGTTTACATCCCCCTCAAAACCCGGGATCACGTCGTCGGGGAGGTCCTCTGCCAGTTCATTTTCCACCAACGGGAACTCGATGCCGGCACCGCCTAATCTCTTCCGAACAGCCGCAACCGCCGACGAAAAGAAGAAACGAGCTAAGCCTGAAGCTTCTCGAGTAAACGTGGTGGAACGCCACAATCGGTGAAAGAAGCGGCGAACAAACTCCTCGATGAAGCGAAGGCCCTCAGGCGACCCCGGGAACAACCTTTGCCCCTCTTTCACCCCTTCGGTGAAATTGGTGGAGGCCTGTACTCCAGCCGCGAACAGCTCGTTGGAAAGCCCCTTAGCTTTCTCCTCCAAACTGGCATTATGGGATACAAGGGAGTCTTTTTCAGCCTCGAGGATTTTCTCTCTCTCTTTCAGCCTCTTCACTTCGGCAAATAGCCCCTCCTTCGAGGACTCCGACACTCCCAAACTCTCCTTCAAGCCCCGGACTTCCTTCCGGAGCTGCATCACCTCTTTCCTCTGATTATCATACGCCTCGCGTGAAACATCATCCCACCCCAGGGGACCCGAGAAGGCGATGGCGAATTGCTGCACTCACAAAGAGGTTAAATGGAGTTAATCTTAAATACAAGATGCTATGGCAAAAACCAATTCACAAGAACAGCGTGAAACAAACCTGTGTAATGTTATGAAGAAGCAACTCAAGTCGGTCGCCCTTACTCATTTGCCCGAAGTGGGCGACATCGGTGGGGAATGCCAAGGACCGGCACGCAGCAATAGCGTTTTCAGCATTCCGGCAGAGGTACAGTCCAAAGTCGGCCGGTAAAGATGACCCAGCCGCCCCAAGGGCCAGTTCAGACCTCCGTTTCTTCGGAGCAGGTTCTTTCTCTACCACCTCTTCGGTCGAAGAAGGAGGCGGTGACGGGGCGAGAACTATCGCGGAGGATTGTTTAGGAGGTTCAGAGTCCTCAGTTCGCGAAGCAGGTCCACCACGGGTGCGAGGAGGAGCGGTGTTTTTCTTCGATGGCCTGGGCCTTAGAGCCCCTTCCTCCGAGGGTCTTTTCTCGGATTCAGCGATTAGAGGGCGCTGAAATTCAGACGCCTCGAACCCAGGCTCCGGATCGGAGGGACGGGTAGCCGGCTTGTCGCCTCGAAACATCCTCTTCATCCTTAAGTCTGCGCAGCAGAATATAAAAAAAAGAGGGAACGTGGGTGAGATACAAGACATACAGGTACATAACTAGCGAAACAACAAAAAACAAACCGACCGAAGTAAGATAACGAGTCGAGGTAAAAATCAGTGTTATAACCAAACCCACCTAAATCTTCCCGAGTTAGAGAATATGTGCCGTTGTCGTGAAAATGGAAATGACGAAGCATCGGCGGAAAGCTGGTGAGGCTATCCGGGACGCCGTAACTCGGTTGAAAGTGAGATATCATTTTTAGCAAAACTTCGTCAACCGCCAAAGGTTTCCCCGCTTTTCTTTTCAGGCAGGGTGGCGAGCCAAGGACACAAATAGGGCGTGTCGACAGGATTTCTGGCAAAGAAATAATGACCTTGCCACCCATCGGTTTATTAGGCGGCATCAGAATCTTAAAACCCGGTCGAGCCGAGATAGAGACATGGAAAGGACTCGAATTCTTTAACACCATCACACTCCGGAAGCGGGCTGGTGTAGGAATCACCCCCGACCAGGCGCACAGCATGCGGAATCCGGTCATAATTATTATGGCATGGGGGTGGAATTGGTTAAGGGACACGTTACATAATTGGGCAATTTCAGAAAACCAAGGCGAGATAGGGAAGGATAGACCGAAATAAAACTGCTCTGAAAACCAAGTACTGAAACCTAAGGGGGGAGTTAAAGGACGGTCATCTCGCGAAGGAAGAATCAACTCGACATCGGTGGAGAGGCCTATGTCGCGAACTAAGTTAGCCAGATCTATGTCGGTCAAGGTACTGGGCCCCCATTGGTCATCTAAATCCCTCCCCTCAGATACGGAGGGCGAACCACTCCTCGCAGAAGAAGAAACCTCTTTCTTGCCCTTCTTCTTGGGTCGTTCCAAGAGTTTACCCGAAGGGGAGAAGTAAGGCCCCTCCTCCGACGAAGAAGAGATAGAAAAAGCAGGGTTTTCACCCCCCTCCCCGGAAGGCGCTTTTTGGCCAAAAGGGTCAGGGGAATGGGCTGACATTATCGAATTGAAGAATAAGATGGAGGTAATAAAAGATGGGGAAGAGAAGTAATACCTTGGCTAGAGAGAAAGAGTGGACTTGAGGGAGGAAAGCTCTGTCTCAGAAAATGGAATCACCAGAAATCAAGCAGGAGGAGAGACGTGTAGGCAAAAAGAAAAAACTTTTACAAGTTGGGTTAATGAGGTATTTATAGGGAAAGAGATAAGAGGAAATTAGATCTCAACCACTCATTCGGACGAACGAGATCAAAAGCAGGCCGCCTCGAATTCGGCGCGGAAAGCACCGATTGAAATTCCCTCATTATGACCTAGGGAACTCGAATCGACTGCATTGATTGATAGGACAGCAGAAGGCGGTAGAGCACGCTTCCCCATCAAAGATTAAACGCTAAAAACGAACTGTTACCTCGCACTCCATACTCCATATTCATCGAACGGGACAAAACAGAAGTTTTATCTCGCCCGATAATTAAGGAGTAGGGGGGAGTAGTTGATACGGGCCATTCTGGAAAGATCCAATACGAATTAGGCCCACGACAAAAGGCCCATGGCAATTCAGCCCAATGATATAAAAAGACCATTAGGTCGTACGACCTCAACGACGAACTGCGGAACTTCGGCTCGCAGGCCCAGTATCGGCTCGTGGTAAATCGAGCCCAGGGTTGTAAAAGGCCCAATACACACAATGGCTTGAGGGGGGAAAAAACCCTAAAAAGGAAACCTTGGAGGCCAAGGTTTCCTCATTTATAAATAGGGAATGATATTGCGTTTTTCCACACAGATAATATACATTTTTTCACATACTTTTACGTACTTTCTAAAAACTCGCTTTGAAATCATACTGACTTGATCGTCGGAGCTTTCCCGCCGGGAACACCTCCCGGCGTTGCAGGTCTTTTTTCTACCGGAATCCGACAGAGAGCTTAGAGGACGCGAGGAAGAGCCCCACGGACCAAATCATCTACTATTTCCAGTATTACCCTTCTCAACAAATTTAGTATCACCGAAATTGGTGCACTGCAGGAAAAAGTTGTCAATCTGGGAATGACTGAGGTAGTAATACTTATAATCTTTTACTTACAGTAACTTTAATTTAATATTATGTTATATACTTTCACATTACAGATGACATGATGCATGAATGATTGTAATTATTTTTACCTATAGGCTGTGAAGTTGTTGAAGGCTTCTCTGGAGACCGACAAGGTTCTTACAACTGTCTTCTTGAAGTGAATTTGGCAAGCGAGAGTCGAAGAAACTGATCGAGGGGTTATTTATATATTTATATAAATAATCCATTTATTGGATTATTTTTATGCGAATCTTTTCTTTAATTTCTCTACTGTCAACTTGAACTACGTAGCTCCTTTGTACCTTTTGAGTTCAAATGAATTATTGCAATGAAATGTTAGTACTTGCTTCTATTATAAGAGTATCAGTTTAATTGATCCAAGTTATTCCTCTCCAACAAACATATACATTTGCTTCTATCATATAATATTATGTTTTTCTGATATTGTTTAAAATTTTATGAGTTTTGATAACAATTGTGTTAAGTTATTTTATAAAGATCAAACAAATGCAATTAAACCTCTATAAATTCATATGGTCCTGATGACTTGTTAAATTCTACTAATGTAGCGATACTTTAAATTATTGCAGAAAGAATATAATACGTTTCACAGAATAGGGACCTGGCCGGAGAAATTTATATTTAATCGAAATAATTAATTTATATATATATATATATATATATATATATATATATATATATATATATATATGAAACTCGTAGTATTTAGGTTTTACTGTATATAATTCAGTTTTCACCGCATAAGGCTTTTCGTATTTAGCAATGAATTAATGCAAAATATTGAAGTACTATATTAATGTAAGTTCATGAATTGATGATAAATAAATAATTTTCTATCAAGTTGCACGCCAATCTTGGATACTTCCACAGAAAATTAAGATCATTAATTAGTGTTAATCGTGAAGACACCAACAGACAAATAGCCATTTGAAACAACACTCAGCCCGTCCTATATATGTATATATAAATCAAGTTACAGGGAAGAAGATCACATATATTTATATATTTATGTATATATATTTATGGCTAAACCCACTACAGTAAGCTTGAAGCTATTGATTGACGAGCAAGGCGAAAGGGTGCTTTTTGCAGAGGCAGGAAAAGAATTTGTGGATTTTCTGTTTCACATACTCTCTCTGCCGATGAGCACCGTGATATATAAATCTTGTCGGAAAACAAGGAATGGTGGGGTCTGTATCAAACATTTACGAAAGCGTACAAAATCTGAACCAGACATACATACAACCAGACAAGACGAAGGACTCCCTTTTGAAACCAGTCGTTAATTCTTCTGCTCCTCTTCTGCTAAAGGCTTTCAACCATGCATCATCATCATCATCATCAACAGGTGGGTTTGTGAAAGGGGTGGTTACTTATATGGTTATGGATGATCTTGTGGTCAACCCTATGTCCGCCATTACCAGCATCACCCTTCTCAATAAATTTAATATCAAGGAAGTTGGTTCGTTGCAGGAAAAAGTTGTCGACGTGGGAATGCCCGAGGTATAATATTTATATACGTCATTACTTGCAGACAATTGTGTATATATATATATATATAGACAGCTGATATGGTTGTAATGATTTTTTAACCTAGGCTGTGAAGTTGTTGAAGGCTGCTTTGGAGACGGACGAGGTTCTTACAACTGTCTTCTTGAAATGAAAATGGCGAGGGAGTTTAAAACACACTGACTGAGATTGGCCAATCATCTGTTTCCATTTGTATGATTTATGTTCCTTTCTTTGTTGACTTAATGAACTTGGAAGTCAAGCCTTGTGTTATTACCCTCTGATTTCTGAATTCAAATTCAATGCATGGATTGCAATGAAAAAGATAATAATTCAAGGATTATTTAGTAATATTGATAATTCGTCAAATAATTTTTTTACTTAATACATTTTAAATGGTGAATTGGTTATTTGTGGTTATTCCAAATATTGATTGTATTTCCTTCATAAATTGTCCATATTATTTCAATTAATACTTAGAGCTTCTTGCATTTAGTACCTATGTTATGTTAGGCCATCTCCAATAGTTGTTTTAAAATTAGTTGTCTATGTCTATAATTTAACACATAAACAGTGTTGTGCAACAGTATTTTCTAATATATACATAATTTACATAATTATTATATTTTATTATTGTCATATTTTAATTTTGAATTAGTCCATTTGCACATTAAAATACAAATATTTTAATTTTAACCTCAAATATATAGATACATATATGTAGTTAAAATTATTTTATAAGAATTTATTTGGAATTAAAACATTTTGGCTTTAAAACAAAATGTAGTTAAATATACACCAGATTTCATAAACTCCTTCGGGATTAAATTTTCTTCATTTATTTATGATTAAATAAATTTGGTAGTTAAACCAACTGGAATATTTAGTAGATTTAGAGATTTAAAGGGATGGGTTGTGGTTATTTTATGATTTTTTATTTTTACTTTTGGTTTCTCAATTTTGAGAAACCAAATTTACAATTTTACAAACTTTGCATTTTTGTATTCCATTGTTGGGGCTATGTTTTAGAGTTCAAATTGTGTAAAAAATGTAAATAATAGACTTGCATATATCTGTGGGAGTTGCCCTTATATAAACAAAAATATACATATATACATTTTTTAAAAGGAGTTTGTAGGGTTAGTTTGCTAAAAGGAAATTACTCAAATCTCTTAACTTTCATTTAATTATCCTCTAGGTTATAAAAAAAGAAGGTTATATTTCGTCTTTTTATCCAGTGGAATGTAAAAATACATCCCAAATAATGTGGTACCGAATACCTCTTAAAACATAGTAATAGCCAATTTAGGTTTAAAGACTCAATAAAAATGGCAAGTTATTTTCAAATTTAATATTTAAAAGTAAGAGGGGTAGTGGAATAAAAATAGGAACTTATCTTAAAATAAAATTGTGTAATTTGTATACAGTGCAACATGGATATAATTGATCCACGAGATTTCATGATGAGGTTACTACAAAGTACAATGCATGTATATCATCTCTCTTTTATCCTCGTAAATTGTAGAACCAGCAGCTTTACGTGTAAATATTATGGATACTTGAAGAAGCAAAACCTGACAACAACTACAGCTGTCTGAATATCCAGAACTCAGCCCCCCTATATAATCATATTCCGTTGTTATCCAGTCTTAGAGAAGAGCCCTTATGAATAAAAGAGTAGTAGAAATAATAAGGCTTATAAAAAAAAGGAACAAAATAATAATAAAGAAAAAAAGAGAGAGAGAAAAAAGAAGAGAGTTAGAAGATATAGGTATGGCGAAGTCCTCAGTAAGCATGAAGCTCCTGATCGACACCCATGGTAAAAGAGTCCTGTTTGCCGAAGCAGGCAAAGATTGCGTGGATTTCATGTTCTACATACTCTCTTTGCCTGTAGCAAATCTCATCAATCTTGTCGGAAAAAAACAAATGGTGGGGTCTTTGGGAAACCTGTACGAAAGCATAGAAACCCTAAACCAGTCATACATACAGCCAAACAAAACCAAAGACACCCTTCTGAAACCAGTGAATCCTGTGATCTGTAGTGGTTCTTCTGTGCCTCTGCTTGCTATCAAAGATTCTCCTACTACTAGTACAAAGAATTACTACAGGTGCCAGTGTAGTTATCGTCTCAGTTATGTATCCGATGACCCAAGAGCGAGTTGTCCGAGTTGCCACGTGGCAATGACCAACGCTGTGCGATATGTGGCTCCTCCTGTAAAACAAGAATCTTCGAGCTGTGATGAAGAAGGTTTAGGGTTTGTGAAGGGGGTGGTTACTTATATGGTGATGGATGACTTGGTTGTCACGCCAATGTCTACTATCTCCAGCATCACACTTCTCAACAAGTTTAATATCAAGGAAGTTGGTGCTCTGCAGGAAAAAGTTGTCAACATGGGAATGGCCGAGGTAATTTACGTTTACATATTTCACCCTTCTATTACACATATTATGTTTATTCCTTAATTTTCCGATGATGACATAGTTTGTATTTAATTTGAAACTACGTACATAGGCTGTGAAGTTGTTGAAGGCTTCTCTGGAGACCGACAAAGTTCTTACCAATGTTTTCTTGAAGTGAATAATTAGGGGCTCGATCCCCATCAACTGCTTGATTAATTGAAGAACTCTGCTCGTGCTTGTTATGCATTTTGTATATATACGTACATATTAAGTACTTTTGCTTCGTCGTTTGATCTTCTTCTTCTTTTGGCTGTAAATTATATGAAGTTGATCAACTACTTTTGGACCTCTGTCTATAGGTTTTACTTTTTACATTATTTTTCCATGATTTAACTACTCAAAAAAATTTAAACTCTATAATAATAACAATTTAAATTTTAACATATAAAACCAAAGGTGGGTCCCTCCACTTTAATATATAGCTCCCTCGTTACTCCTATCTGTAACTCCCTAGCGGTTTATGTGCTTTATCTTCTCACCATGCATTTCTATTGGTAATTTACATTTTTTAGTTTCAATATTACAACATAAATAAGTTTTTTAAAAGTATTTATGAAAAATATGTAGAATTAAAATCCGTATCAAGGACGCAATTGTAACACCATAATCAAACAGACTTGATTTTTTTTTTAATTAAAAACAAATACAAAATCTATATAATATATAAAAGTTGAATTGCACACCTAATTGATTGACATTTGTCAATTTCAAATGGTGACATGTATTCAATTTCATCACATGTGGCAAATTGATTGGTGAAAATAAATCATCAAAAAACATGTCACTATTTTCCAAAATTAAATAGATATTTAAATTTTTATTATATATTTATATCATACCATTTATAAAATGCTCTAAATATATCAACTTTCTTGGAAACTCTAAATAGTTTTATTTTTTAATTTATTTTTAATATTAATTAATTTAATTTAAAGTTATTAAAATTCGATTTAAAATTTTCACTTATTATAATTGCATGATTGCTGGTGTTACGAAAATTTTGTATTTTAATTCATAAACTTGGATTTATATACAAAAAAATATTGCAGAATAAATCATTGGAATATTATACATTTGATTTGAACATGGCCAGAGAATATGTTTATTTTTTTTACTAATTTAATATTATATATTAATATTATCTACATAAAAGAAATATACATGTTCCAATTTACTATATGGCAAAAATTGACACTATTTTTTTTCAGCCATGCGTACAATAATATACTCTCAATTATTTACCTTCTTGAAAATTTTACTACATGAATTTCATGTTATTGTTTTAACTTCTCTTTTTTCTTCACTGAATCCAATGAAAATAAATTTTATGATTGATTTAACTTTTTTAATTATATACTAATAAAAATACAAACTTTCCCATGATTATACTAATAAATTGATTAACATAAGTTAAAATTAATCAATTGATTAAAAAAATAAAAGAATTGATTTTATATATTTTAAAATATAACAACGTTATTCTAAATCTTTGGGATTAAATTTGTTTATTCACTTTATTTAAAACCAAATATTAAGAATATCAATTATTTTGTTTAAAATGTATACTGATCGTACATACTATATATATTGTATTACACTAATAAGTATTTCTCTATAACTTTGATAAATATAATTAAGTACATATCTAGAGTAACTCCAACCCAAAAGTGCCAAAATGAGTTTGCAAATATTTATATAATATTTAATATTTTATTTTAATATTTATCTAACTATATTTGCTCCAACCATAGGTATTAAATGGTTGTTAATTAAAAATAATTAAAATAATCTATATATCTAATTGCCACATGTCATTTTATAAATGGACAATGAGGTGGTTAAATTCATAATTCAAGTTTGTTATTTTATTCAGCATGATGTATTTTTACATTCCGAAAGATGAAATATCAAAATACAACCCTCATTTCATAACTCCATTGGAATTAAAAATTACTCTTTTTGAGTATGAAAATGGTGGTTAAAGGTTTTGATAGCACAGTTAATAACGACACTTAAGGTGCTCTTACTTTAAATATTTTACATTCACAAATACAATATCAATCGACAAATAAGTAGTTTATACGATCCATTTTTAGTTACAAATAAACTCAATAAGATATTTACATATTACCATTATAGACTAAAATTATACGAGAAGTAATTGCCTAATTATGTCTGTGTCTTTCCAGATTGAGAAAGTTTGATGCCATATTATGATTATGACTGGCAAAGTATCCAATGTTCAATATCCTTATATACCACCAAAATTTTTCTTAACAATACCAAATTAGTGGTGGTCATTTCATTTGGCACGATTATTGGTACCATATCGAACTTATATGAGATTTTTACAATCCATTATAGAGTGGGTAAAAATATAGGCAACCTATCATGGAAAAAAAAATATGTTTAACTACAAATATTGTGACTAATTTTTAAAATTAAAATTCTAAACCATATGAAAATAAAAATATTAACGTAAGGCATTATAGCGTAAATAATTGATTATTAAATATTTTAACACTGTATATGTCTTACTATATTTTGGCACTGGAATACATGAGTTTTTTTGTCTAACTTACAAGTTATGTATCTAAATTAGTGAAATATTCTTAAGTTTTCTATTTCCCCATCATATATAATAAGATTTATTTATTTTGTTAATTTCCATTTTTTAAATATTTGTAAAATAAAATTATTTATTTTATAATATTTATAAGAATCTAATATCGATTCTATATCACTATGTTTTTTGAAATCACAATCTATTCGACTAATTTACACAAAAAACCAATTCATTTTTATTTTTGCATTTATTATTTATATAAGCATTTTGTAGTGACTTTTGTTTACTTGAAATTGATATTTTTCATTAGCATCAGCCTTTATGTTAGTTTCTAACATATAGACATTCGTGTAAATCAATTCAAGTTGTATATTAACAGGGATAAATTACGAAAACTCCCTGAACTTGGGCTAATTTAAGAAAAAAACTCCCACATATTCGTAATTTAGTCTAAGTTCACGAGGATTTTCGTAATTTATCATATTAACAACGTTTATCATTATTTTCACGTCTTAACGTTTGCATATACCCTTATATTATTTTAAATAATTTTAATGTCACTTTGATAATATAATTAAATATTAATTTCTTATATATTTAATATGTGTTTTTTGATATTTCAGCTACATCACATAAGGAATTTGATATAAAAGTTGCGAGATTGGATAGAATTGTTTTTGATACAAAATAATGGTATATCATTTCAAAAGTGAAAAAATATCAATTTAACTATCTCTTAAGATTTGAGATATATTGATGAAAAATATGAGATTAATAATTGTTGAAAATTATAGTTGGAAAATTAGTAGAGAAAAATATTAAAAATAAATAATTACAGAAGTATCATTATGGTGGGATTCTTCACGGGTTAGTTTCAATTTTGATAATTGTTAAAAATCATAATTAAAAATTAGTAGTATTAAAAATATTAAAAATAAATAATTACAAAATATCATAGGGTTTTTCTAGGGTTGCCCAGCGTTTCTTTCTTTTATATGTAAGATATTAATATTAATATTAGTATCAATATTAGTATCAATATCAATATCATTATCAATATCGACATTAGTATCGACATCAGTATCAGTATCAGTATCAATATTAGTATCAGTATCAATATCAATATTTGTATCAATATGAGTATCAGTATTAGTATTAATATATGTATCAATATCAATATCAGTATCACTATCAATATTAGTATCACTATCAGTATCAGTATTAGTATCAGTATCAATATCAATAGTATTATGGGTATTAATATGAGCATCAATATAATTGTGAGTATTAGTATCAATATTAATATCACTATCAATATCAATATTAGTATTAGTATCAATATCAATAGTATTATCAGTATGAGTATGAGTATGGGTATCAATGTTAGTATGAGTATCAATATGATTATCGGTATTAGTCTCAGTATCAATATCAGTATCAGTATCAGTATCAGTGTTAGTATTAGTATTAATATTAATATTAATATTGCTATGATTATCAGTATTATTATCAATATCAGTATCAATATTAATATTGGTATTAATATAATATTACTATGAGTATCAGTATGAATATTAGTATTAGTATTATTATTAGTATTAGTATTAGTATTAGTATTAGTATTAGTATTAGAATTAGTATTAGTATTAGTATTAATATTAGTATTAGTATTAGTATTAGTATTAGTATTAGTATTAGTATTAGTATTAGTATTAGTATTAGTATTAGTATTAGTATTAGTATTAATATTAGTATCAATATCACTATTTGTATCACTATAAGTATCAGTATTATTATTAGTATTAATATCAGTATTACTTTATGCTTAATATAAGTATCAGTATTATTATTAGTATTAGTATCAATGTTAGTCTTATTCTTAGTATTAGTATTAGTATCAATAAGAATATTAGTATTCTTATTAGTATTACTATTAGTATTGGTCCGAGTATGAGTATTAGTATTAGTATCACTATTAGTATCGGTTTTAGTTCCAATATTAGTATCAGTATTGGTATTAACATTAGTATTAGTATTAGTTTTACGTATTAGTATTAGTATTAGTATTAATATTAGGATTAGTATTAGTATTAGTATTAGTATTAGTATTAGTATTAGTATTAGTATTAGTATTAGTATTAGTATTAGTATTAGTATTAGTATTAGTATTAGTATTAGTATTAGTATTAGTATTAGTATTAGTATTAGTATTAGTATTAGTATTAGTATTAATATTAGTATTAGTATTAGTATTAGTATTAGTATTAATATTAATATTAGTATGAGTATCAATATAATCGATATTAGTATCAATATTGGTAACAGTATCGGCATCCGTATTGGTATCGATATTAGTTTCAACATTGGTATCAGTACTGGTAGTGGCGTATACATCATATCTCTTTTGCAATATTTATAAGTTGTATTGTTGTTTGAGTAATGTGCATCACTAATTGAACGTTGTTAGTGATAAACTTGCAGGTTATTTGAAATCTATTGTGTTACTTCTCTGCTACCGTGTTTAATGTTAACTTAGTTATTTTGTAGCACATGGTGTAGTAGATTGCATTCAATGAAATAGAGTTATACTATATGTTCTAAATGATTTCACTTAATCTTGATATCGTGTTTTGTGCGCTCCACGTTTTCTTCTTTTTAATATTTAACTGAATTTTATATGTTACTACTCTGAATTAAGAGATAAAGTTAATGTTTTTTTTTTATTTCCTTCCATTTTGTTTTACTTGAATTGATGTTGTTATAAAGAAAGAGTCGTTTCGTAAGTTTATTTTTCTCATTTTGAAACTGACATCCGTGCAACGCACGGGTGAAATACTAGTTTTAATATAAATTAAAAAAAAAAAAATTGATAACGAAACACTATCTTTTGATTTGATTTGATTTGGATTGTAATTCCAAATACAGTTTTGGTGCATATCCATTCTCATTCAGTTTCTTGATCCTTATTTCTAGATTCCTAACATTTTAAAAACCATTTCAAATTTCGGAAATAAATATATACAAACCCTAGCCTCTCATCTCCAAATCTCGAAACCCTAGCTACAATGGCAGAATCAACACTGAGCTTGAAGCTCTTGATCAACAGCCAAAGCAAGAGAGTCCTCTTCGCCGAGGCCGGAAAAGACTTCGTCGATTTCCTCTTCTACATTCTCTCTCTACCTGTCGGCACGGTCATCAATCTCCTCAAGAAGCAGGAAAACATCGGCTCGTTAGCAAACCTGTACGAGAGCATCGAAAACCTAAACGAGACGTACATACAGCCAAACAAGACAAAGGAGGCTATTCTGAAACCTGTTGCTACGGTCCCCGGTTCCAATATCCCTCTGCTTGCGCTAAACGACTCATCCTCCAAGAGAAAATTCTACAGGTGCAGCAATTGTTTCGGCTATGTTTCGGACGACGCAAACGCATCTTGTCCGAGTTGCAGTCGGAAAATGACGACAGCTTTGTCCTACGTGGCACCTCCACAGAGGGCTTCTGGTGAAGTTGGATTTGTGAAGGGGGTTGTTACTTACATGGTGATGGATGATTTGGCGGTTATACCGTTATCTACTATCTCGAGCATTACTTTGCTGCATAAGTTTCATGTTAAGGAATTGAGTTCTTTGGAGGAAAAAGTCGTAAACTTTGGCATGGATGAGGTATTATTACATTACGAATTTCCCTTTTTTTTCCTTCCGAATAATCCATTACTGATTTTTGCATTATAATTAATATGGTTTTTTTTTTATAATTTTTTTTGGTTGCATAGGCTGTGAAGTTGTTGAATGCTTCTATGCAGACGAAGAAGGTTCTCACTGAAGTGTTTCTTAACTGTGCAACTCCAAGGGAACATATGTAGAGATCATGGATTGAATGCTCTCTCTCTCTCTCTCTCTCTCTCTCTCTCTCTCTCTCTCTCTCTCTCTCTCTCTCTCTCTCTCTCTCTCTCTCTCTCTCTCTCTCTCTCTCTTGGATGAATTTGTGGTCGTTTTCATTTGGGATTTGTAATGATTTTTAATTTGTTGGTAGCAATTCAGTGAAGGCCCTTGGTGCATTATTTTAACGAATTTAGCTTGTTCATTGGTTATTAGTTTAATTTATTTTGTGGAAAACCTCTTTAACTCCTGTTTGCTTCAATTCAATCAATGCATGTTAATTATCAATTATTATTGGTAGTTTCTTGGTTGCTATCTTTTATATATATTACAAAATTTTAGATTCAACTATTTCAAATTCTCTAACGATTCAGACTATATATTATTTAGATATATTTTTTTGTTAATTTTAGTGGAAAAATAACTTAGTACTTCTCTTGTAACCCTAGAAAACCCTATATGTAGAAGTACTCATCACCTCGTACTATAAACATTTTTATGCGTGAAAAATTATCTCTATATTCAAGTAATTAATTTGCAAGATAATAATAATATTTATATATTGAAAAAAACAGAACTTAATATGTGAAATAAAATAGATATACAAAAAACAAATCCCTTTTAAACATAATGAATAAATAAAGAGTTGGAGCTTGTAAAATGAATACATAGAAAAATTTAAGCAAATTCTTGGCCCTTGAAAAGATTGGTCCATTTTTGAGACCTACAAAATATTACCCAATAAAATAGAATAAAAAAATTAATACAAAAAAACAATAATAATAATAATAATAATGATAAGTGGGCCCTTTCTCTTCTCGGCCCTGGGCAGCTTGTATATATACCCTAAATTAGTCTCTATTCAACCAAATTCTCTGGTCAACATTTTAATTCTCAAAATCCCCAAATTGAGGAAAGAAAACCTAAAAATGGCGGCAGCCGAACCGAAAGTGATGAGGTTGAAACTGTTGATCGACACCAAAGGCAAAAGAGTCCTCTACGCCGAAGCCGGAAAAGATTTCGTCGATTTCCTGTTTCAGTCACTCTCTCTGCCGGTGGGCACCGTCGTCAGTCTACCCAAACCCCAAGTAAACGCCGGCGCATTAGCGAACCTGTACGAGAGCATGAAGAATCTCAACGAATCCTACCTTCTCAAATCGAAGCAGACGAAAGATCCCCTTTTGAAACCGTTGCTCCGTTCTCTCTCCGCGAGTCAGGGTTTTAATCCTCTGCTCCCCGCCAACAATGCATCCGCTGCAACAAAATGCTACGCGTGCAATTACTGTCGACAACAGGCTTCTCTTGAACCAAACACAACTTGTCCGAGGTGCAATTATAAAATGGGGCAAGTTCTATCTTTTGTGGGTGTTTCTGTTTCTGAAGAAGTCGGATTTGTCAAGGATATGGTTCCTTACATGGTGATGGATGACTTGTCTGTCACGCCATTGTCTACCATGTCCAGCTTCGCTCTGCTGCGGAAACTTGATGTTAAGGATATGAGTGTAGTTGAGGAAAAAGTGGTCAATTTTGGCAAGGATGAGGTATTTTTAATTATAGCAAATAATCTTTCAAAGTATGTATATTTATATTATATATATACTATGTAGGGCACTAATTACTGTGTGTGTGTGTGTTTTTTTATTGATAGGCTGTGAAGCTGTTGAGTGCTTCTTTGTATACTAACAATGTTCTTACCAATGTGTTCCTCAATTGCACAAGTAGTAATTCAAAGAAACGTGCATGTAAGAGAGAAACTTAACCGTGGTTAATTAAATTGATACAAAGCAGCAGAAAATGGATGAAGGATCAAGAACTCACAAATGTGAGCAGAGGTGGGTTTAATTTGGCAAAGGTCCTTCAAAAAATTTGATTTCATTATTTTTGGTATTAGTTGGAGTTTTTTTTTTTTTTTTTTAATTAGTTTTTACAGATTTAATAGATTTTTTTAGTCTTTGCTTAAGTGTATATAAGTAATTCTAACATTTTAGTTTAATTAAAATTATTTAGAGGATTTTATTTCTATTTTCTTGAGGATTATGGATTTGTTAATTTCTTGATTGTTATCTTTTTTAGATTCCTGAAATATAGAAGCAACTATTTCAATTTAAGGGAATAATATATATATTACGTGTTGTGTGTTGTTTTTCTGAGATTCAAATTGCATCAAAATAAAAATAATTTAGGGTCTTTTTTTTTTAATTAGTGGCAAAAATACTTGTCCTTTTCTTGTAACCCTAGGAAAACCCTTCATGTAGAAGTACTCCTCTCCTATAAATAATCTAATAGACACAATTCCTACTTGCGCACGTGTGTCTTGATTCCCCTTTGTCCAAACCATCTATATATACACCCTTACCCTCTTCGCCCTATCTTCCTCTGTAAATCACAATCACAAAAGAAAACCTAAACATGGCCGCAGCAGCCGTACCGAAATCGATGAGCTTGAAACTGCTGATCGACACACAAGGCAAAAGGGTCCTCTACGCGGAAGTCAACAAAGGCTTCGTCGATTTCCTGTTTCATATACTCTCTCTGCCCGTGGGCACTCTTGTTAGTCTTTTGAAAAGTCAAGGTAACATCGGCTCATTAGCAAACCTATACAACAGCATCGAAAATCTTAACGATTCTTACATACTATCAAAGCAAACGAAGAATACCCTTTTGAAACCAAAGCCCCTCTCTCTCGCCGCTGGTCCGAATGTTCCTCACCATAATCCATATGCTGCTAGAAACATCTACACCTGCTCGTGTAATTATAACTCGTATGCTTCTGTAGACCTGAAAACAGTTTGTCCGATCTGCAAGAAAGAAATGGTCAAACTCATAACTTTTGTGGGTCCTAGTTCGTGTGGTGAAGTTGGATTTGTCAAGGATATGGTTACTTACATGGTGATGGATGATTTGTCTGTCACGCCGTTGTCTACGATGTCGAGCTTCGCTTTGCTCCTTAAACTTGATGTTAAGGATATGAGTGCCGTGGAGGAGAAGGTGGTCAATTTTGGCATGGATGAGGTATATTTAATTTATATTACGACTAGATTATATTATTCGGTCTTATTTTCCTTCCAAATTAAGAATATCTTTGACTGCTAATTTATATGTCCTATGTAGGCCACTAATTACTGTGCGCGTGTGTGTATTTGTTTTCATTTTTTTACACAGGCTGTGAAGCTGTTGAATGCTTCTTTGCATACTCACAATGTTCTTACCGATGTCTTCCTCAATTGCACAACTAGTACTTCAAAGAAACGTGCATGTAAGAGTGAAACTTAACGGTGGTAAGGTGATCGAGCCGATTGATCAGGATTAAGGATGATCAAGAACTCGAAGACTGGTTTCGGCAAAGGTCCTTCAAGAAGTTTGGTTTCGTCGTTTTTGGTATTAGTTATAGACTTCTTTAGCTTAATTAGTTTTTACACTTTTAATGGATTTTGATCTTCTATTACTAGTGTAAGTGGCTCTTACATTTTTGTTTAATAAAATTATTTGGAGGGTTTTATTTCTATTTTCTTGAGGATTTTGGGCTTATTGTTCTTGGAATTGATTTGTTCGTATAAAAAGTATTTCGCATTATCTAATATTTACATCTCCAACACTTTCCTCTCTCATTGAAGACAAGATGTCGTCTGAATCAGATACCATGTTGATGGCCTTCATATACACAAATCGTTGAATATATTTATATTTTGAACAAAAAATTAGATTTTGTTATCAATGACAAGCTATGTAATACGAAAATTTCAACTTCTTTATGCGTCATGGGCCTCATGGCACCTTATGGGTATTAATTTTGAATATATTTGTATGGAAATATAAAGAGAAAAATTATATAAGCTATGGGTGATTTAAAAAATGTTGGGGGAGCCAAGTCACCCCCTAACTCTATGTTGGCTTCACCACTAGCTAAAAATAATAGTTCGTTAGAATCATATCGGAATAACGTATACAATGCATTATCCCATTAGAGTTTCTAACTATGTTTCAGGGGGTGAGTGTAATTATCGATACGACAGGGACTTTAAAATTATTTAAGCATACCTCAGGAGTGTGGGTGTAATTTACCCTTTAATATTTATATGTTTTCCCGGCCCGTTTCCCCAAGTTTTCGTATCCTCATTTTTCGGACATGCCATTTTTTCGTGCTCATTTTCCGTATCTCTATTTCAGTGTCCGTGCTACATATAGATATTATTTTGAAACCAAGAATCTGGTTTCTACTAGATCTGAACTTTTCTAAAATTAATACATACATGATACACTGAATAATTTTAAGCAATTTTTTAGCCCTTGATAATATTGGGCCAGTTTTAGGACCTAGAAAATAATAAAATATTACCCATACACAATAAAATAGAAAAAACAAACTGGGCTATAATTATAAACCCTAAATTAACTGAGCCAATATTTTCTTCTCATAATCCCCAAAATCAAGAAATTAACGAAACCCTAACAATGGCCGCAGAACCCAAAACGATGACGTTGAAGCTGTTGATAGACACCAACGGCAAAAGAGTCCTCTTCGCCGAAGCAGATAAGAATTTCGTCGATTTCCTCTTTCAGATTCTCTCTCTCCCTGTAGCCACACTCGTCAGTCTTCTCAGAAACCAAGTAGACATGGGCTCACTGCCAAACCTATACGACGGCATCAAGAATCTCAACAATTCTTACATGCAGTCACACGATAAGAAGTTATCCCTTTTGAAACCGGTGCCCCTCTTCATCGTGCTAGGTTCGATTGTTCCCCGCCGCGACGACGAAGCAAGAAAACCCTACGTATGCGACTCATGTTACCTATACGCCTCTGTAGAGCCGGGCACGTTTTGTCCCGACTGCAAGGTGGAAATGGAGCAGATGACGATATCTTACGTGGGCCCCCCTCCGCCGCCTGATGAAACTGGGTTCGTTAAGGATATGGTGACTTACATGGTGATGGATGACTTGGTTGTCGCGCCTTTGTCGACTACGTCGAGCTTCGCTTTGCTCCATAGATTTAATCTTACGGATATCAGTGCCGTGGAGGAAAAAGTTGTCGAGTTTGGCTTGGATGAGGTATTTACTTACAGCTTAGCTACATTTTCTTACAAAGAATCTTTTAATTACTACTAAGCCACTACGTGTTTCTGTGTGTGTGTGTGTGTGTGTGTGTGTTTGTTTTGCAGGCTGTGAAGCTGTTGAGTGCTTCCTTGCGTACTAATAATGTTCTTACCAGTGTCTTCCTTAATTGCACAAGTACTACTTCTAGAACGTGCATGTAAGAGAGAAACTTAACCGTGGTTAGGTGGGCAAAATGGTAATTTCATTAGCGAATGGAGAGATTAAGGATCAAGAACTCACAGATGTGATCAAAAAGTTTGGTTTTTCATCCTTTTTTCTGGTCATAGTTGGACTTCTCTTTTTAGTTAGGTTTTACAGTTTTAGTAGAATTTTTGATCTTTTCTTACTAGTGTTAGTAAGTAATTCTAACATTTTCTAGTTTAATAAACTTATTTAGAGGATCTTATTTCTAATTTTCTGGAGGATTAACTGTTTATTGTTCTTGGAATTAATTCATTGATGAAATAAATAAAAACCCTAAACCCATGATTGTTGGTATATATTTCCTGTGAGCTAACAATAGCTCACTGACTGATGCCACTAGATGCTCTTCCCCGAGAAAATCTACTTCAACCAAAATGCGACTACTCGTAAATTTTTCCCCCAAAAATTATCGTCCGTGATAACTCCCGTCGTCATCGAATTTCCTTGTCCTTGAGATGAATTTATCGCAAGTGATAACTCTTCGTCATTGAATTTCCTTGCCCTTGAGATGATTTTTTTTTTCATCGCCAAGTCGATCGAATGTGGCAATTAGGGTTTTGTGGGGCCCTCAGACAAGAGATACACATGTAGTAGTGACACTTCTCCGACATGGACTAATTGATGCTAGCCATGATCTGTGTGAAGTGGATATATAGCTTTTCTTGGTCCGAAACACCTCAAACTGCAAACATTAATTAATTAATTTGTTTATTTTCGTGAGAGCCAAAAAGTCCATATGATTTATTTTTAAAATCCAGGACCGGACCGGCTCTGCTTATTATATTGGGTAAATTCCGGCCACCCCTTGAGGTTAAATCTAATTATGAAAAAAAAATATCTCATGTTTAATTGGGTAATTACAACCACCCCTTAACAACGGAATCTTCTTACACATTTATCATTGCGGTGTCAAATTTAGTAGAATATTCTATACTATGTGGAATATTCTCCAGTTTTCACCTGTTTTACCCAATTCGAGCTCCACATTTTGAAACAAGATGATCATAAGATGTGTTTTTTCGCTTGTAAATATCAAATTGTGGTGCATCAGAAATTGTATTTTCGCCTAAAACAAGAAACAAGTACAAACTAGAGAATATTTCACGGCAACTAGAAGATTCTGTTGAATTTAATACCATAAGGGTGAGATTTTTTTCATAATTTAACATTATCTCACGAGGATGGCCGTATAATGTACCCTATTATATATTATTATATATGAAGAAAAAAAACGATAGGTTATTTATGTCCAAATAAAGAAGGAAATGTTTAGGGTAAAAGGAAATCTTTAAATCCTTGTATAGTATGAAATAATTAATTTATTTATGTTACCAAGTTTTAGATTTGTAAATCTAATTCAATTTTTAGAATGATGAAAACAATGGCAAGAATATATATGCATTGTCTTTAATTTTTTTCTTGTAGCCCTAGAAAACCCTAGTTGTCTAGCTATTTGTAAGACTCGCCTCTTCTTCAAAGACATTGTCATAAACCCTAAATCTCAATACTGAAGTTCAAAAACAAAAACTAACCATGCTCGGCGAGGCAGGTCAAACCCAAGTGAGGATGAACTTGAAACTGCTGATAGACACAGAAAGCAAAAGAGTCCTATTCGCCGAAGCGGGCAAAGATTTTGTCGATTTCCTCTTCAAGATACAAACCCTACCGGTCGGTACTGTAGTTGTTAGTCTCCTGCAGAAAAAAACAAGCAAGGGTAGGCTCATTAACAAACCTGTATGAAAGCATTGAAAATCTCAAAAAATACATGCAATGGAACGGGTCGAAGGATGCCCTTTTGAAACCGGCCCCTCTTTCTCTAGTCGCCACCCGTAATAATGCTGAAGCATCAAAAATATTCTACAAGTGCTCCACGTGTCCCCCCTTGTATGTTTCTGATTCCCCAGACATACATTGTCCAAATTGCTAAGTGTGACTTACGTCGCTTCTTCGTTCTATGAGTGAGGAATCGGATTCGTCAAGGATATGGTGAATTACATGATGATGGATGATTTGGTCCTCATGCCTTTGTCCACTATTTCAAGCATCACTTTTCTTAATAAGCTCGACGTTAAGAATTTCAGTACCGTACGGGAAAAACGCGTCGATTTTGGCATGGATAAGGTGTATATATATATAAATATATGTATATATTATATTGCTAGTTCTTTCAATGATGAATCTTTGAACTTATACTAATTTATATATATATATATATATATATATATATATATATATATATATATATATATATATATATATATATATATATTTCTTTTTTTCTCTTTTTCTCTTATACACAGGCTGTGAAGCTGTTGAGTGCTTCTTTGCATACTAATAATGTTCTTACTGATGTCTTCCTCAATGGCACAACTAGTACTTCAAAGAAAGGTAACACACAGGCGATCTAGGGAAAATTAATCGATGCGAAGTATACGTAGCCAGGATCGTTATTCGGCTGTTAAGTGGAACTTTGGTCTTCTTTTACTAGTTTAAATAAGTATGTTATAGTTAGAATTATATGGAATATTCTCTAGTTTTTCTCTGTTAAGGGACTAATATATATATGTTTTTTTTCTCTGTTTCACGCTTTCATGTGCTTCGTAGGTTATTAAGATTATTTTGAAGGGTAAATTACTGTCAACCCTCTGAGGTAAGGTAAAATTACGAAAAAAAATCATTTATGTTTGGGTAATTATAATCGCACCTCAACGATAAATTTTCTTATTACACGTTCATCCTTGTGGTGTCAAATTTAATGGAACCTTTTAGATTATGTCAAATATTCTCCAGTTTGTACTAATTTTACCCCATTCGGGCTCCACATTTTGAAACAAGATGATCATAAGATATGTTTCTTGGTTTGTAATATCAGATTGTGTTGCATCAGAAACTGCATTTTTGCACTAAGCGAGAGAAACATTCCATGAAATTTAAATTGTAAAATATTAGTTGGATAAAAACTGATATAATCAACTCAGTCTAAAAAATTTTGAAAAAAAATGCAAAATAAAGAAATACACAATATTTATAAAATGAAAAACAAATGTGTTATGGAACTGCACATACTTTAACCAAAATAAAATAATTAAAAATATGCTTTTCTAATTGCTAAAAGAACCCTGAGGGTATTTATGTCAACTTCTGGTTGGTCAATGGATAATAATCTCTGAAATAAATAGATAGCATCCAAAGTCACGACCAGATTGGAACTGTTGATTGACACCAACGGCAAAAGAGTGCTGCATGCAGAATCCGGCAAAGAATTCGCCGACTTCCTGTTTCAGATACTCTCTCTGCCGTTAGCCACAGTCGTCAGTCTTCTGCGTAAACAAGACACCTTCGGCTCGCTATCGAACCTGTACGAAAGCATGGAGAATCTTAACGATTCTTACATGCAATATAACGGGACCAAAGATTCCATTCTGAAACTAGCGCCCGTTGTTAACGTTTCCTCTGCTGTGCGTCGGTAGCTAGCATTATCTACAAGTGCTCCGTGTGTTCGAGTTTTGCTTCTAAAGACCCGAACGCGACTTGTCTAAAATGGTAATTTTATTAGCGAATTGGAGAGATTAAGGATCAATTATACTCACAGATGCAAAGTGTGTTGTTTTTCATCTTTTTTCTGTTAATAGTCGTTGGACTTCTCTTTACTAGATGGAATGAAATGTTCTCTATTGGGGAGGGGGGTGGGGTTTGTAGTTACTCAACTACAGGAAGATTTTTTCTCGTAATTTGACTTTACCTTAGCAGGATGGTTCTAATTTACCCTATTATATTATATATGGAAAAAGACGATAGGTTAATTATGTCCAAATAAAGAAGGAAATATTTAGGGTAAAAAGAAATCTTTAAATCCTAGTATAGTATAAACAAATTAATTTATTTATGTTACCAAGTTTTTTGTCTTTTTTTCTTGTAACCCTAGAAAACCCTAGTTGTTTCTTTGTAAGACTCCATCTCAACCAGTAACTCTTTACCTTAGTTGTCCACACACAGACGTACTTATTAATTCCTTAAAACTGGCCTCCTCTTCAAAGACATTGTCATAATCATCCCTAAATCTCGGTACTCAAGTTAAAGAAAAACTAACCATGGTCGGCGAGGCAGAAACCGAAGTAGTGATGAGGTTGAAACTGTTGATAGACACAGAAAGCAAAAGAGTCCTATTCGCGGAAGCAGGCAAAGATTTCGTCGATTTCCTCTTCAAGATACAAACCCTACCGGTCGGTGCAGTAGTTCTTAGTCTCCTTCAGAAAAAACAAGCAAGGATAGGCTCATTAACAAACCTGTACGAAAGCATTGAAAATCTCAACAACTCTTACATGCAATCGAACGAGACGAAGGATGCCCTTTTGAAACCGGACGACCCTCTTTCTCTAGTCGCCGGTCCAACTCCGGGCCCTCCTCGGGCCGCCACCCTTGCATCAAAATTATTCTACAAGTGCTCCACGTGTCCCCCCGTGTATGTTTCTGATTCCCCAGACATATATTGCCCAGGGTGCCGCTATAGTAAAATGACGTCAAGTATGATTTACGTGGCTCCTCCGTTCTATGACGACGACCAAGGAATCGGATTCGTCAAGGATATGGTGACTTACATGGTGATGGATGATTTGGTCGTCACGCCTTTGTCCACTATCTCGAGCATCTCTTTTCTTAATAAGCTCGACGTTAAGGATTTCAGTTCCGTACAGGAAAAACGCGTCAATTTTGGCATGGATGAGGTATGTATATTGTATATATTATATTGCTAGTTCTTTCAATTAAGAATCTTTGAACTACTGACTTATATATACTATGTATGTGTGTATTTCTTTTTTTTCCTTTTTTTCTTTTTACACAGGCTGTGAAGCTGTTGAGTGCTTCTTTGCATACTAATAATGTTCTTACTGATGTCTTCCTCAATTGCACAACTACTAATTCGAACAAACGTAATCGATGCGAAGTATACGTAGCCGGAGCGTTATCCGGCTGTTAAGCGGAACTTTGGGCTTCTTTCACTAGTTTAAATAAGTATGTTAGAGTTAGAATTATAACATTTTGATTTTTTTGGAATTAATTCTTTTATTGGAATCAAGAATCTGGATTCTACGGCTAATAGACTTTTTTTTTTCTCAGTGTTTCACGCTTTCATGTGCTCAATAGTAGGTAATTAAGATTATTTAAAGGTTAAATTACGGTCGACCATATGAGATAAGGTAAAATTACGAAAAAATCATTCATGTTTGGGTAATTACAACCACCCATCAACTATAAATTTTCTTACACGTTCACACTTACGGTGTCAAATTTAATGGAATCATCTAAATTATGTAGAATATTTTCTAGTTTGTAAAACATATGTATTTTAAAATATATTAAAAAAGGAGAAAAGGATTGCAAAATATTTGGATAATAATTGGGATATAATAATCAACTAAGTTTAAGCAAAATAAAATAATTAAAATATGCTTTTCTAATTTCTAAAAGAAACCTGAGGGTATTTATGTCATTTTCTTGTTGGTCCATGGATAGTCATTAAGTCAGTTCGTGTGCAGTGAACTTCTTTGCTGTTTAATATTTCAGAGGATCTTTCAGCAATATAATTCCGTATTTCACAAGGTACTAATTGTAATTTATCTATTTAGTTTATTTTGTCCAAACTTTATATGGTATATATATTTAAAAAATTACAAACATGCCATTAGGGTTTCTTAGATAACCTCACTTTCATAGGGTTTCTTAGATAGCCTAACTTTTATATATATAAAGATAATCTCTCAAATAGATAGCTACGTACGTGCATTAATAACTCATAACAGAAAACCCTAAACCTAATTACCATGGCCGCAGCAGCAGCAGCAGAAGAAGAATCCAAAGCGACGACCAGATTGAAACTGTTGATTGACACCAAAGGCAAGAGAGTGCTGTACGCAGAAGCCGGCAAAGAATTCGCAGACTTCCTGTTTCAGATTCTCTCTCTGCCGTTAGCCACAATCGTAAGTCTTCTGCGAAAACGAGACACCTTCGGCTCGCTAACGAACCTGTACGAAAGCATGGAGAATCTTAACGATTCCTACATGCAATATACCGGGACCAAAGATTCTACTCTGAAACCAGTGCCCCCCGTTAACGTTCCTCTGCTTGGCGTCGGTAACAAAATCTCCAAGTGCTCCGTAGGTTCGAGTTTTGCTTCAAAAGACCGGAACGCAACTTGTCCGAGCTGCAAGAAGAAACTTTTCTTGTGTTGCAAGTATAAAGAGATGCGCAATGCAGGATTAATTTTCAAGGATATGGTTACTTACATGGTGATGGATGATTTGACCGTTACGCCCTTGTCTACGATGTCTAGCATTGCGTTGCTCCGTAAACATCATATTAACCAATTTAGTGATCAATTGGAGGAAAAGATTGTTGATATTGGCATGGATGAGGTATTTTATTTATTTTTTATATTTTTTTCAAGAATGATCTTCTACTTACTAATTTTTATTTTCTGCTTCATAGGCTTTGAAGCTGTTGAATGCTACTTTGCGGACTAAGAAGGTTCTTACCGATGTCTTCCTCGAGAACTCGTGTTCGGTGAAACGAGAGGTAGATATAATATAGATCAATGCGTAACATATAATAATACTCGTTTGGGTCATTAATTGGCTGCATGCGCGCTATGGGAGATGTAGAAATATAGAAGAAAAATTGTGCAGATTTAATATTTTGGATGAAATTTTGAGTTTGCGAGACGACCTTACTTATGTCGAAAGTTCGTCTTTTGTGGTTTTTGGTTCTAATTAGAGCCCTATTAGCTTTTCATTATTAAAGTGTTCTTTCTTAGAATATATAGTAACATAATTAGAATTAATTTTTTAACTTTTTTTTGCCATTATGGTAAAATTTTCATGTTTTTTTCTATTTTATTAAGGGGCTCTTTGAGAAAACCCCCTCACTACTTTTTTTAATTGAGGGAGGGAGGCCCAAAATATAAAAGTCCACACCCATTTTCAGCTATTATATTTTCCAGCTTTACCCCCGCCCGCCACCTCATCACTAGGTCAGCGCTCTAGGATTTTTTCTTTTTTTTTCTTTTCCGTTTTTTTAATCGACTACGAAGCATAGTCGATTAGTTTTAATTCGACTATGCTTCATAGTCGATTAAGGAAAATCTTTAATTTTTTAATTTTTTTTTGTTTCTAATTTTGTTTTTAAATTTTTTTTGGTTTTTTTAATTTTTTTCTCTATCAGGTTTATTAATGCATAGTCGATTAAAATTTTAGCTATTAAAAATAACAAATCATAATTAAAAAAAAATGCAAAATCAACTATATTTAAAAAAAATATACAAACATTGCAATTGATTTATACATTGGAATCAATAAACAAAAAAAAAAAAAAAAAAAATTTAACAACTGGAGTTGGTTAACCTTAATCGACTACTGAACATAGTCGATTAAGCCTTAATCGACTATTGAACATAGTCGATTAAACACACGTAGTCGATTAAGGCCCTGCCTGCGCGAATTTCTTTTTCTGCGCGAATTCAGCAAACCCATCGGAATCTTCCACCCAAAACCGCCGCCGCCAGCAGACCCATCGCAATCCTCCACCCAAAAACGCCGCCACCAACAAACTCATAGCAATCCTCCACTCAAAACCGCTGCCACAACCATCATTACCATCACTCATGAACAGAGAAATTTGAACCGGCACCGCCCTCGCCGCCACCATGTACCAGGCCACCGGCGAAGCCACCGGATCCGCAGGCTTCGTTAACATCACAGATCTGAAGGGCGGCAAGGTCGGTTTCTCCCCGCAGGACAGCGGCGGCGGCGTTTCAGCCACTTTCGTCAAAACCGTCGAAGCCATTCCTTACAACATCTCCGTAATTCAGATCTCGTCCATCCTGCCTTCTCCCGAAGCCGAGGCGCCGGCTCCGGGGCTGAGCCAGACGAACACCACGGCTCTGATGTCGGCTCACGGCTGCAAAGTGTTCGCCGAGACGCTACTGGCTAATCCGGGCGAACAGACGTTCGAGACCAACGTGGAGAGCGGGCTGACGATTTTCTGCCCCGGCGACGACGCTAGGTGAATTTGAGAAAGAGAAATTAGGGTTTCAAAATAGTATATTGACAATTAAGGGTAGATTTGGAATTATAAAAATAATATTTGGTGGAATACTAACCAAGGGGGTTTTCTCAAATTATTTTTGGGAGGGGGTTTTCTTAACTACATTTACTAGATGAGGGGGGTCTTGCTAATAATCCCTTTTATTAAAGAGGGTTTTCATTTAATTGAAATAAGCAATTTTATGCATTTGCAAAAAAATATTTCATTTTGGATCGGATGACCAACTTGGGCTATAATGGGACCTTTGTACTCTACAAATGTTTTTTCGGGCTTTTAATGATTTTACAATTTCATTTTGGGTTCATTTGCAATTGGGCTTACGGCCCATAATGAGAAAAATTTGTAGATGCTACACCTGATGAAATATATCGGGTGATCCTGAACCATTGATGTACACATAATAACACACGCACCCATGTATATATATATGTTAGTGACTAGTTATTTATATAGATTTAAGGTTCAAAACAGTCCGGTGTAACATCTCATAGACCAGTCATTAATATCTCAGAAATTATTTAAATTCATGCATTCTTCTTTTTCTCAAGTCTAAAAAATGCCATTTTCGTTGACAATTAGTTCTATTTAAATTCATGTTGTCATATTGTGATACTACCTTAAAGCAAAAGTCAATCCATACACACACATTGGACTTTACGACTGTCTCACTTACTTTATAGTAAAATTAGGTGGGAATTTCTCGAGCCCATTTCTGATTATATATTATTTTGCTCGATTTAATTGTAATTAAATAAATAAAAGTTCTACACTAGAGTTGATAATCCTAACTAATGTTTGGTTAGGTTCTGTGGGAGCCCTAATCCCCATTACGGCTCCATTTAACTATATGATATAATTGGGATTAGTTGTCTACGACATTCCTCCAAAGAGTGATTAGAGATAACCAATCTCATGATTAGTGCACACTAATCTCAAGGTAAAAATGGTCAAGTTAAGTCTTTTATTTTTGTATTTTTTAACTCGGTAACTAGTCAAGCTTAGTTTACTTCAAATTAAATAGGAAATGACTCCATTTGTTCTAAATTAAGTAATTAACTGTCATTTTTGTAAAATATTTTTATTTCATATTATTTGTTACTTTAGATTTTTACTGGATTAAATTCATTTTTTTCCTATTTTAACATTAGTAACTAGTAATTCACTCCAAGTATAAAACTCTTAGGGGCTTCTTTGCAAAATTCTGAAATAATTAGGTGTTACTTTGCCAAAGTGTCTTAACCCAGGGAGATGGATGTAATTTTTACAAACTACTGCGCAGAAAGTTATTCATCTATAATCTATAATCTATAAAGGTAGATAAGCATTTTTCTGTTGGATAAGCATTTGTTGTAATTTGTATTTTGTCCATCTAGTTTAATATAATAATCATGACAAAACAACTACAAAAGCTTCAAGAAATAGATTCTAACCTTTGATTAGTTAATAAATTTAATACAATTATGCATTCATCACTTCAATAATATGGCATTGTGACACGAGCATAACTAAAGTATAGGCCCGAAATCAAATAATTGTTAATCAACATTCGACGGTCGGTCATTGAAATGCTACATCCGGCATTGGTGTGTTTAATTATGTGCAGATCAGCGACTAATAACCAGTCGAGTGTATTTTCAAGCAATCGCATAAAAAAATAGGAATGCATAAAATTGGAAAATGGGATATTACAAATGCCATGAGCGAATCAGAGTTTGTCTTTACTCCCGCATTTTTCGCTGATATGTAAAAGATCACCAAAACTCGGACTCACTCAGACTCAGAAAACTCTTTTCAGTATTTGAGTCAGATTTAGAATTTGATATATGTATGTATCTATCACACAATAAGTCTTGTGTTTAGCAGTGACCCTCTTGTCTTTTTCTCATTTAGTCCAACCCCACCCCTAATTTTTTTTTAAAATAAATCAAATTAATTAATTAAAGGGGCACATTGTTTTGGGAGTAAAGAAAAACAGTAGCAAAAGTTTGGTCCATATAAGGAGCAGAGAAACCACTGACTCATTCCCTCTGAGTCACCTTTTTCAATCTTGTAATAAGAAAGGGGAGCGAGCTAGCATGGATAATCAGACAAGCCTTCTTCTTAATTGGACTTATTCCCACCAAGATAAGGTAACATTTTTTTTTTATCTGGGTTTTGGTTTTCTTGATTGATTAATGAGTAATCTGTGTTTAATTAATTAATTAATTGTTTAAAAACAGAGTATGGATGAAGAACTGAGGCAGACGCTTCTGCTAACAATGGAGCTCGAAGAAACGAGAATGAAGGCACAAGATGAACTCAAATTGAGAGACGAGCAAATTACTCAGCTCCAGCAGCTTCTCAGCTTAGCCATTCAAGAGAGGAATGAAGCTCAAGAAAAGTGCCAAAAAGTGCTTTTCGAAAAGCTACTTCTCCAAAAGCAGCTTCAGCAGCAGCAGAGAACTCCCAATTCTGGGGTTTCAACCATTGAAGACGACGATCCCAGAAGAGGGATTGACTTATCTTCCTCAGATTGTGAAGAAAGCATTGTTTCGTCACCACCCCACCACCACCACCTTCCGCCGCCGCCGCCGGAGTTGCCTGTAGTGATGGACAGGCCGCTGCCGGAGAAGGGTAAGTTTCTGCAAGCGGTCATGAAAGCAGGGCCGCTTCTGCAGACACTCCTCCTCGCCGGCCCGTTGCCGCAGTGGCGCCACCCTCCACCGCCGCTCGACCCATATCAGATTCCGCCGCCGCCGCTGCTCATTGCACCACCACCGCCGCCACCTCTTCTGCACACCCACCACCCCATCAACCAAGACCCAAACAATTGCGGTAGAATAAATAACAGGAAAAGGGATCTTTTCGAAAGATCCGATTCCTCCATCGATCAGTCCAAACACCGAAAGATTCTTCTCCGATGAACATCATGCTTTTTGGCAATGCGTTCATCGTAATTATTCAGCTTCTGCAATTAATTAACAAAAGGCGGGAACTGCAGATTTTTGTACAGTGCTTTTGATTTTATTATTGGAAGAGTAAAGATCCAATCTTTTGACCAAATTCAGGCAGTTTCTTACTTTATTAATGGCTTCCTTCCTTTTTTACTTTCTCTCTCTACCAGGTGATCAATCACCATTTTTAAAGGGATACATTTTCCTTCTTTTATTTATATATATATATATATATATATATATATATATATATATATATATATATATATAAATAAAAATATATATATATATATATATAGAGAGAGAGAGAGAGAGAGAGAGAGAGAGAGAGAGAGAGAGAGAGAGAGAGAGAGAGAGAGAGAGAGAGAGAGAGAGAGAGAGAGAGAGTGTGT